TCCCAACCATGTGCAGTTCCAGTAACCTTAACATAATGCTTATCCTCCGCCGCGAAAACCAAGTTCAAAGCCTTCATTACAACTAAAGCAGCCATAAGCATATGAATCCGATGCACAGATTTCTTATTATTGAAACACACATACAACCATAACCCTAAAAATCCAAAATAAACAAACGAAAATAGAAAGTACAACGTGGGAAGCTGAGTTAGCCCAGCTGAAAGATAATCTTTCACTTGATTATCAAGGTTATACAGTTCTGTACGGACGTCCATGGACACTTTTGATTCAGGGGCACAATTGGCAAAAAAGAGGGAATATTCATTGGGGGAAGTAACGGGGTAAGATCGGTTGAATGAGGAATTTGGTGGAGGCGAGAGATCGCGGAAAGTGAAGAGGTTATTGATGAAATTGGATTTGAGAACGCAGAAATTAGGGTTTTGTTGGAGCTCAAGGAGGACTTGAATTAGGGATTCTTCTGATAAGAGGAAGAATCCGAGACGCGACGGGTCGGGCGTAGCTAAGGTGGAGATAACGGAGACAGAGGAGACTGAGATTGCGGCTTGACCCGTATGTGTGAATCCGAACCGCTCGAAGAGGATCATAGCACGTGGATCGGAGGAGATTTTGAGGTTTTTTATCTCGCCAGTGGTAAATGAGACAAGACAAAGGAGGAGAAGCGGGAGGAGAAGGAGTAATTTCGTCATTTTGAAGTGGTAACGCCGGCGAGGGGTGGATTAATGGGTGATCTGTGGCGGAGGAAAACGGCAACGCCGGCGAGGATAGGAGGAAGAGAGATGTGAGGGGAGTTTGGCAGTGGTAAGGGGAGAACGAAAAGAAATGAATAGAGTAAGATTTACAGGAAGATATTCGGAAATGACGGAATTAACCTTTCAGGCCTTAGATCTGGATCTAGTTTGAAGGAAAGTAAACAATAGTCTTAATTCTGAAGTTACCCACCAATGTGTTATAAGGAGATTAAGTATTTTGGCATTTTATAAAAAAGGAAATTTAAGTTATTATCCTAATAAGGTCAAACCACATTGTAAATATGAGATATTTGAAAAACTACAAAGGCATGCCAGCTACCGATGAGAGTTAAAATTAAATTATTTTTAAATATAAAAAGGTGTTATTTTTCGGTGGAAACTTAAAAAAAAAATGATATCATATCATATCATATAAACGAGAATAAGAAAGAGTTATGAAATGTAAGCTAACAATTTACATCACAGTTGAATCTGTATACCTTGAGATTTGAAACAACTAAGTAATATGTTACTAAATTTTGATTATTCCCAGCAGGAAATGGTAAGTTTAAAATTGGATTTAGTTCTATCCTTTTTAGTTTGCACCTAATTTAACACATGTTAGAAATATTAAATATTGTTGGTAACATAAACCTGTATCAACTTGCTGTATTTTACCTTCTAGAATTATGTCCAGTTGTCCATAGTTAAGTGCAAGTTGTCTTGTAGTTTCACATCTCGAGATTTTTTTCAAAGTCCAAATGAGACTCAAGGGTATTTTAAAGAGAACTTGTTAACAATATGAAACCCTATTGAGATTATACTAATGTATAAGAGCCCGTTTGGACATAAAAAAAATCTTTATTTCTAAAAAGTTTTTTTTTTTTTTAAATTAGTGTTTGTTCATAAAATTTTCAATTTTCACTTGAAGATGCATTTTGGAAATTTTTGAAAATTTGAAAAACTCCAAAAAGCTATTTTTCAAAGTTTTCACTCAAATCAGTCACAAAACTTCAAAAACAACCCAAAATTCTATTCATGTCCAAACACAACTCTAAATTTCAAATACCATTTTTACTTCAATTTTTTTTTACCCTTTTTAAAAATTTTACAATTCTTATGTCCAAACACCCACTAAGTTAATCCCATTCTTTTGCATGTTCATCTCTTCTTTTTTTTTTTTAGAGAAAAGGCATAAATTGCCCATTAAACTTGTTTGGAAAAATCATTTACACACTTAAACTTTCCAGGTGATCTAACACCCCACTATTCTAGTTTGAAGTGAATTTATTTCCTCCCTAAGAGCTGACTTGGCAAAGAATGTGTTATCAAACTCTTACATGCGCGTGAAAAGAAAGAAAAAAAGTTAAAAGCTAACTTAACTATACAAGTGTCATCTTTGTGATAGATGTTGTCAACAAATTAGACTTAATTAATTATTCTTGATATCTTTTTCATTTTTTCATTTCTTATTCTTCACTGTTTTCTTTCTTTTTCTCTTCTCCTTAATTGTCTTCCCATGTTCGTGGTCTTCAATGGCCAACCAAATCATTAGTGTCTGATCAAGATCTGGTCGGTGTTCAGTCGGAAAATCGTCGTCACCACTAAAATTCATATTGTCCCTTACCAAGAAACCCACCTGGAAAGACCTTCTTCGCCATCAATGAATCAAGGACCATGTTACTAAAACTCGATTGGATTCCAACAAAATCTCTGTTTTGATTCAATTTATCGAACAACATAAATATCATCATTGGGCTTATAGCAGGGATGCCTCTATGCCCATTGAAATAAACTTCCATAACTTTCAAGGCTTGCATAATATAAGTCATATTTAGTTGAAATTGGAGCTTATCCAATTGGGTTTTCTTTCGAAAACTATAGTACCTACCAAAGAAAGTGTCGTTTGCATTGAAATTAATTAACCCAAAACTGTTCAAATCCGCTAAAATCAATAAAAATTTGATAAATATGGACTAAGTTCTTGGATTTCCCACCTCCAAAAAAACCCCAAGGAAGAGGATTTCGCAGGAGAGAGGTCGTAGGTCTGTGATGTTTAGCGTAGAAAGGGAGAAAGAGATGATAGAAGGAAGAAGTGAACGAAATGATAAAATGATTTTTTTTTGGGGGAGGGAAGGTATGGGATGAAGGTTCTATTGAAACTGAAAAAAGAAGGAAAATGGAAAACAAATGTAAAAAACCAACCTGCCAGCGTGTGGAAAACACAGTTTGGACTGAATCTGGTTGTAATATTTTAGGGGGTAAATAAATTCACTTCAAATTAGAATGGTGGGATGTTAGGTCACTGATCGCTGCCGACACGACACTACACTATGGTAGGAAGAGCAGATCGCAATAGCTTTTACCCGAATAGAGGTCCGGGATCGAATTTTCACAGGGAGCTAGTAGTGGTGTTGTATTTTCTGTCTAGCCTAGAGTTGCGGTTGTGCTTCTAATGCCACTTCAAACATCTTTTGAGTTTTTTTGTTTATAACTACTATTATAAAACTACGGATTAAAGCTAGATTATGCTAGGAGAATATTGCTAAGTTGTAATTAATAGGAAGGAAGAGCACTAGGGTCGTGGCATTACCTTGGTGACTAATTGACGGGTAGATGTTACTTAGGTTCGATTGACTTATTTGGGGCTTATGCTATAACCGTTGCACAATTTTACCCACTCTCACACCTCTCGGTAGAGAGAGTGATTTTACCCAATTGACTCTCTCGAGACCAATTGGGTTGGCAAATTAGACCAAGCAACCAGGGTTCAAGTAGGGTGATTACTCTCTCGAGATTTAACCCGTTAATTGGGATTATCATTTCTCATGAGTCCATCCCAATTCCTTGTTGGGTCAATTTTGAGGTCATAGACTCTCTTTCTCAAGAAGAGTTAAACCCACAAAGCTTGAATCAATGTTTGCAACCACCAATTCTAAATTAAATCATAAAATCAGCCCAAATAACAAACGCCCATAGTCAATCTAACCCTAGATGGCAACACCCACCAATTACTCACACTAGGGTTGAGCCACAACCCTAACTAATGGGTTTAGCTACACATAATTAAAGAAGAAACTGAAGAAATAGATGAAGAACTACACATATTAATTAATTATTAAGAAGAAACTACATCAATCTATTGTTAATGGGAAATAAATATGCCAAAAATGGTTACAACACCAAGCGCAGCTGTTCTTCTATTCTCAGATCTGATCGCCCCCTTAAAAAAATAGTAAAATGTTCTATTTATACTAGGCTGGAAAAAACTGGATAAAAATACCCCTGTGGGGTCAGTGCTGGCCGCACAAAATGGACTGTGGCCGCACTGGCTCAGATCTGACTGTATCTACATTGATATATTCCGACAATCATGGAGCTCTTTTGGGCCCGACATCCCTGTTGAAACCATCCTTACTCATGAGTCCCCGTGAACTTTGACCTCGATCGTTTCTCCTCTTATTCCGTGCAAAGTTTCGTCCAGACCCACTGCCTCTACGGTCCCTGTTTTACGGTTGATATCGATCTCTATTCGACCTTGTCTCTCGGTCGATATCCCTCTTGATTCTATCCACGGTCCTGTTAGGATAAACGGACCTGGAAGGAGTCCCTAATTGATCATCCTCGACCTTGATCTTTGACTAATATCGATTAGGTACATCGGCCCGAGTAACAGCTGGATACTCGATCAAATTTTGCTTCAACTGCTGTGAAACTGTGGGACTTCGAGTGTTGAGACCTTAAGTGAAAGCTTGAATAGCCCAGTCATCGGTGACCGGAGGCAAATCCATTCTCTCCGTTTGGAACTGAGATACGAATTCCATGAGCATTTTGTTATCTTTCTGCCTTATCTTGAAAAGGTTCAACTTTCTTGTTGCAACCTTAATGGCTTCGGCGTGCACCTTTAAAAAAGAATCTGCAAGCATAGCAAACAAATTAATAGAATTAGGCGGTAAGTTATGATACCATATCATGGCACCCTTTGATAGAGTCTCCCCGAATTTCTTCAGCAATACAGATTCAATTTTGTCATCTTCCAAGTCATTTCCTTTGATGGTACACGTGTACGAGGTGACGTGTTCATTTGGATTAGTCGTCCCGTTATACTCAGGAATCTTGGATATACCAAACTTTTTAGAATCTAGTCCTTTCAATATTGGTGGTGCCCCCGGGATTCGGTCGACCCTAGAGTTATAGGTTTCCACCTTCTTATCATTTCCTCGATCTTCTTTTCCCCTATCTCAATTCGCTTCATCAACTCTTCGAGCATTTTTAGGATAGTGGGATTGGTCTCTGATTCCTTTTCATTCAATTTTCTCAAAGTTGATTCGACCCTGTGCACAACTTCTTGGGACGGCTCGAGTTCGACCCTGCTCAGTGTGTGATTCTGATTTTGGAGCTGACTTATTGCTGCCTGCTGGGCCTGTAGCATTTCGAAGATTACCAACAGGTTAATCCCACCATTTTCGCTGCCATGTGCATTCTGAGTAGCTGATTGGGTACCCCTACGTATGCTTCTTTTGGGATCGACGACCACATTTCCATTTATGGCTATATGTGAACCGACATCGATTGGGTCTGCAGCCGGAACTCCATCGAGGCCAGCATGGGGTGCAACGTTTCCTGGTGCAATGTTCTCTTTCTCACCGTGGTGGCTGAGATCATTGTCAATGTGTTGAGGGGTTGACTGAGAGTTTGACATCTTTTGATCTTATAATCAAAGACACTTCAAAGAACAAGCGTAAAATAGTGTGTGTTACAAATATTTGTACTAGGCAATCACTATTATCCTTAGCGCCACGGTGGGAGCCAAACTGTTTACCCTAAAAACGGATACCAATCGAATTTATACTGTGGTTTTAAGGATATGTGATTCACTTAGCACAAATTGAGAGAAAACGTAAATTGATAATAGAATTAACTGCAAATATAAATGGAGCAAACCAAACAAAATATATAGCTTTAATCCTTGAGCTAGACTACCCTTGAATTAAGTGTATATTTTTCCGTAAAGTATGAACATAGTAGCAAGAGTATTAAGAGCTTAAGAATAAGAGAATACATTGCTTTTGTGACGTGAATATGGTCCTTACAAAACGATTAGAACCCCCTTTATATAGTAGAGAAATTATACTTATGGTACACTTCTAAATACAAAAGAAAATCTCATGATTGCTAAATGTTCGGTCTTGAC